AGTGTGTGGATATTCTCACCAGGTCATGGGCATTCTCAGGTGCGTTTTGTGCAATACGTTCTATTAGTTATTCTCTGGACCTAAAAGTGGGGCCTGGTTCATTCTGCAGAGATAGGAAAGGAAGTCAGGAAGGCACTGGGGCTCACCGGCTGGCACTGTTCACCACCCTCACCTTCCTGTGCCCATTGAGCATGGTGTGGTGCTCCTCAGTGGATACCCCATATTGCGAAGACTTCAGATTCCCTAAGTTCCACATGCATAGCACAGGACTGGCATGGGTGGGTCTCAGGGTTTCGCTGTGGCCCGAGGGTCAGCTGAAAAGCTCCTCCTTGGCCGGCTGGAATTGGGTTGGGTCTCCTAACATCAGTGCCGACAGAGAAGAGCACAGACGACTTACCACTTCACCCCCCATGTTCTAACACAGAGGAGGTTGGGCCCCATCGGAGTAGAGAAAGGAGTCAGGGAGGGAGGCGATACAGCTCAGAGCCCAGGAACTCTGGACGTGGTGGTCTCCCAACTCCACAAGGAGCTTTGGGGCCCATCCAGAAGCGCTGATCAAACCAGGCGGACACTGCTGGGGGAATCAGGCTATCCAGATGAGCAACCTCAGGGCTTCTACAGCTCTGGGGCCAGCAGCAGAACTTCCAGAAGTACCTGTGGAGGTGGGGATACCTCACCCACAAAAGCAGCAAGGCAACCCCCGGCCCAAGACTCGGCATGCAGGCCTCATCTCAGCCCATGGAACAGGTCCCTTTCAAGCCACATGGTTGTTTAGTTGTCTGGTCTTAGGACAGATGACATCTTCAGCTGCTTGTCCCCACCCCTGCAATACTCTGACCCACTAAACACCTATTCACTCCCCAGGGCTGAGGATGGAGCGGCCAAGCTCTGTGCAAACAGCAGGCCCTGCAGAACAGGAGCAGTGGTGTGTGGAGCAGGGAGCAGAAAGAAGCAATGTGCTGCAAGCAGCGATCCCTCGAGCACAGCGCAGAAGAGATGCAGACTCGGCTCTGCTCACCACACTTAGAAAGTAGGCGAGGGAGGAGAAAGGGCAAGAACATGGGGTCTCAACTTGGGACCGACCCTAGAATTTACTCCCTCTAGCCTGCTGGGACCAGGGGTTGTCCAGACCCTGGAGGAGGTGAAGATGAGAAGAGAGGCTCCTCCAGAGAAGGCAGGGCTGTACTCCCAAGACTCAACCACTTCATTTACATCAGTGTGCACATTGTGACCTCTTTCCTCTTAGTCTTTTGTTAGCCTCCCTAGCTCTGTATAGCCTCCCTAGGCCCTGAAGCCTGACACAGGATGGCTTGGAAGTAAAAAGGTGAGTGAGTCGGCAATCAGAGGAGAGATGTGCCTCTCTGCCAGGGCTGTGCTTTCTGTTCCCAGCACATGGCCATGTGTGTGGACCTGGGGAGGGGGAGGAGAATAAGTATTCAAATCTGGTTCTTCTTAATGACTGCTAGTCCTTGAGGTGAGGGAATCCGGGAAAGCTTATACTGGTGCCTGATAATCCACACATCTCTCCTGGACCTCCTATCTTGGTTTCCTGTCATGTCTCCTAGATCTGAATATTCCAGACCTACCATTTCAGATCCAAGGGTCTAAGGCTTGTTGCTGGCCAAGAATAGTCTCACATTTGAGCTGGCCAATTCCTTTGCCTTCTGCTGTTGCATTGTGGCTCAACAAGTCAGGCTTCAGCCTTTAGAGGTAACTCTCTTCCCTGTATAAGGGCCTGCCTCTTGTCTGCCCGACTCCAGATGCAGAAACCTTACAGATAAAATGGGCTGGTTGCTGCCCCTTGCCCCGAATCCAGCTTTCCATTCACTTGGAAATACTCATTAAACCTGTGTGTCACAAAGCACCGAAAAGAGGAGCTCTTCTCCAGGGAGGACAGAGCCTGCACCTAGACAAACACTTACAGAATGACCTGGATGTCCAGAAGAGACTCACTGGCCGCTCAGGAAAGCCAGAGAAAGTGCCACAGAATATCCTGAAGGAACAGAGGCCTGGAGAGCCCTTTCAAAGTGTTTTCAAGCTGATTGGATAGATACACTGCATTTATAGGGTCCAGGGGTGTGCCTGTGGGTCCTAAGGGTGGGCGATGGCAGGCTCTTGGAGCTATACCAGCTAGCCTGTTCAGATTAGATCTTTCCGACCAGAGCTGAGGCATCAGCCACAGGTGAATGTGATGTTCAGCCCATAAGCCTAAAACCCACCATTAAGGCTTCATTCCTTTCCCATGGGGCAATGCACAAGGCAAGTGGCTGGCTGACTCGGACACCAAACACTGGGAAAAGTAGGAAGCTACTACTGTCACAGACTTCACCAGCACCACACCGCCCTGGCGGCCTCCATCAGAGCTCCACAGTCACCTGCTAAGCCCTACAGGGTGCTCCACTGGAGGCTGAATGGAGGAGGGGGAGAGGCGACATTTGGTGTTTCCTGTGGCCTCCCTGGAAGAGAAGGGGTTGATGCTCAACGGGGTTCTTCATGCCAGCTCAGTATCAGGGACCCCACCACACAAGTCACATTGTGAGTTCCTGCACGGAGGTCTTGTTCCTGCCTTCACCTTGGTATTCAGCCCACGGTCCACCTGGTAAGGGTGAGCTTGAAAATCAAGCGTAATGGGGACAGGAATAAAAAGGGTGAGAATATATGCCAAGACTAATGCGGCGCATCTCTGAGATGGGCGCCATCTATTGCCAGTGCAGGGTTGTTAAGCATAAGGCAGAAAGGATAAAGGAAGAGACTTTTGGCCCCTCTTTAAAAAAAAAAAAAATTTTTTTTTAATGTTTATTTCTTTTTGAGAGAGAGAGCATGCGCACAAGCTGCGAAGGGGCAGAGAGAGAGAGGACGAGACTGGATCTGAAGCAGGCTCTGCACTGTCAGTGCAGAGACCGATGCGGGACTCAAACCCACAAACGGTGAGATCATGACCTGAACCGAAGTCAGACACTTGACTGACTGAACCAGGTGCCCCTTTTTGGCCCCCCTTGAGGAAAGAATCTACAGGAAAACTTTGTGATGTGGTTAAAAGTAAATTTCTTTTTTTTACAAGTTTTTTTTTTTAATATTTTTATTTATTTCTAGGAGAGAGAGAGACAGCGTGAGCAGGGAAGGGTCAGAGAGAGAGGGAGTCACAGACTGAAACAGGCTCCAGGCTCTGAGCTGGCAGTCAGCACAGAGCCCGACGCGGGGCTCGAACCCACGAACCGTGAGATCATGACCTAAGCGAAAGTCGGACGCTTAACCGACTAAGCCACCCAGGCGCCCCTAAAAGTAAATTTCTATCCAACTAAACTTTGTTTCTTTTATTTAAAATGAAACCAGTACATGCACATGGTTACAAAATGAAGTAGAAAAGAAGGTAGCAGTTTCCCATCCAATTCTTTTCCCACCTCTCTCCAGAGGCAACCAATTTTTTAACACTCTCTTTTTAGGGCGCGTGGGTGGCTCAGCCGGATGAGCATCTGACTCTTGATTTCAGCTCAGGTCATGACCCTAGGGTCATGGGATCAAGCCCACATGGGACTCCACGCTGAGATTGGAGCCTGCCTGAGATTCTCTCTCTTTCTCCTTCAGCCCCTCTTCCTGAACTCTCTCTCACTCTCTGTCTACGATAGAAAAATTTTAAAAACTCTATTTAACACTTGATCTTAGCCAAAAGGCCAAGAAGTGATAAAGACTCTATTTTTACACTGGACAACTTAATTCCTCTAAATACCTGTAATATGTTTATATGATGCCATAATGGGTTCAGTATCTGGAATAACATGGCAATAGATAGCTGCACTGCTCACACCTTTGGAGATTTTTGGACTCTGGCTCTAAACTAGACGTCCCATACACATCAGTGCCTTTCGGGAGGCAGGTATGTATAGTCTTGGTTGGATGAGGGATATTTGCATTGTGTTAGTTTGTGTGTGTGTTGGGGGCAGCCAGGGAGGTAGAACATAGTGGATATTTGTTTCGTATACCCAACAACCAAACATCCTCAGCGGAGGCTATTTGGTTACCCTGAACTACAGTTTCTACAAAAAAAAAAAAAAAAAAAAAGCAGGATAAATGCTCTCCCTCCCCCAAGTTGATAGTCTCCTCTAATGAATTGTTTTTATTTCTGAGTATCATTATGGACTCAAGGATTCTTTGTATATTCACTGTGATTCCATCATGACAATTGCTGTTTTTGATGTTGAAATATTCCCAACTTTGATGTCTAGATTTTCCTGGTACTTTTCCTGTCCAGATCTGGAATCTTTTCATGGGAAAGAAGTATTTAGAAAACAAAATCTGAGTTCCAGGATTGATCATTGCTACTGGTATTTATGGCATTTAGACCATTCAGATGACAGAGCAGAAAATGTATTTGGAAAATCGCGAGTTCATGGTGATGTGGGTGCGCAGTAATGTGAATGTACTTAATGCCACCTAACTGTACACTTTCGAATGATTAAAATGTAATTGTTATATAGATATTGCCACAAAAAATAATTTAAAAATTGAGTTTATAATGATATTTCCAGTTTGAATTTAATGTCACAGAGTTTTTACTATACCTGTCTGACTTCGTATTTGGTTCCTAATAATATTAATATTATTACTTAATTACTTTATTCCATGAAACCCATTATATAGTTTCAAAAATAATACTAATATTATAATACATCTGCTAAGTGAAGTTTAAAGTTTCTTTGTAGTTCTTTTTGTCCACAGAATATATCCTCCAAAGGATACATAATATATTGAGTACCAAAGGAACTTGAAATAATTCTTTTCTCTGGTGCTTATATTACCAATCTGATATATAGTTAGGTCCATTTGATTTGTTCTCAACTTTAGGGTTTGCTTTTTCCTCTTTTTCATTTGATCATATTTTTTGCTGAGGTATATATGTATACATATACACATATAGTGTGAGATGTGTATATATATGTCATATGGGGATATGTTTGCTGTTAAGAATCTGGGAGAGAATGCAGCCTTTAACACCACCAGGATCCATTGGGAGGAATAAGCTACAGTTTTATTTAGAGCAGAGTGATTTATATCCAGGATCACTTGAAGCCCCAGTCCTTCTCTGATACACCATGGTCCCTTTAACTCACAGCCAGCCTCCTGGGGCTTCCAATGGGGTGAACAGGTTGGAAAACATTTCAGTTGTAAACAACAACCTTCCCCTCACATTCCAGCTTTAAGATGACCTTTCGCTCTTCTTTGAAGTTGTGTATGTTACTCTTGAGCCAATATTTATCATCCCAGTAATGGGACAACCTCATGAACTCATCTGTCCCAAAACCAAATAAGGATACCTGGGAAATAGGATAAGATAGGAAAGGGCCACGGGGTCGCAGGCTGGATCCTGTCCTGCCTCCATGCCCACCAGCCACCCTTCAACAAACACTCATTTAACATCCAGCGTGACAGTCTTCCTCTTGGACCTTGGAGGAGAACAGAGCTCACCTCTAGCGAAGACATACTTTGAACACACAGTGTGACCCTGGAGTCCAGTAAAGAGAGTGTCAACTAGTTGTTTCTGATTATTGGCGGAAAAGAGGATTCCCCAGGGAGACAAGAGAAGGGGACTTCCAGGCAGAGGCAGCAGTGCGTGAGAAGGTAGGAGGGAGCTGGTCTGTTTGGGGAATGCCAAAAAGCACAGTGTGTGAGCTTGGAGAGAGAAGGTGGTGGTAGTTAGATCATGAAGGGTCTTGAAAGCCAGTTAAAAAACTTTAAACTCAACCTGAAGTCCCTGGGAAAATGGACATTTTGACAGAAGGATGAAGGTCAGTGAGTTGTAGAAGTTGTCTTACCTGGTCACAGGTGTGCAGGGCATACAACAAACCCACGAAGCCCAAGGATGGAAACCAACCATGCTTCCCCAGCCAACGATCCTGGACATACTGGAGAAAGGTGAGGCTGAGCACCAAGACCTAGAGAATATAAGGGAGAGTGCTGACCTGAAGGGCATCCCCTTCAGGCTATGAGCAGCCATGTCATCCTGCTCCTCCCCCTTTACCCTCCCAGATCTCTCACCTTGTCTTTGTTCTTGTTACTTCCACTGGGGACCTGGACTATCTGAAATCTAAAAAGGGATTGGGGTGTTTCAGAATTTCAGAGTCATTTAACACAGCAGCCCCCAAGCTTAGGTAAGCCTTGAGGGTGCCTCAAAATTCAGCAAGGGTCCCTCTGGAGTCCCCACTGTCACCCCCTACAATGGCTCTGCTCACTGCCATACCCAGGGTTTATTGGGCTTCTGAAGCTCTGTTCCCATAGCACTTCCATAAACCACTTTAGGCCAGATGAATTCAGAGGAAGCAGCAGCAGCTGGGTACCATGATCCCGTGTGCTAGCCATCTCGGGGTACATAATGCGCATGGTGGTTTTGTTGCCCACATCTGTCTCAAAGCCTAGGACAGGGGCCTGGTTCATCCTAGAAAGGAGAGCAGGGTGGACATTTGGAGGAGGAAGTGGATTTGGCCTGACCTTCCTGGTCTCCACCTCCTCCTCTGCTCCCACCTGAGGACCATGTCATGTTGGTTAATCCTGAATCCATGGCCAGAGCCACGTAGGAACCTTGAGTTTCCAACCACTGCACAGGTCCGGCAGCTGGACCCCACATAGCCCTGTGGATGTCTGGGAGACTCTTCTATTGGCTGCTGCTCCTGATCCTCAAACTCTTTCTTTGACTTGACACCCTGAAGTTCAGAAAAGCATAGTAGGGAGGAATTTAGGAGTTCATCTCAGACTCTCACTATCTTTGGAAGAAGGTTAGAGCTTGGGGCCATAAAGAGAGAGATGTTCAGGGCATGGGGTTGGGAGAGCTGGGACTGGACAGAGACCAAGACTGTGCACTGACCAACCACAATATCAAGGCATCCGAGGACATGGGCTCTTCTGACCTCTGCACAGGCTCAATGGCCCTTACAAAGCGTTCATCAAACCAGTCAGATCCTCCACGCGTGTGGAGGCAGGCAGGGCACTCGAAGATCTCAGATGAACACATACACTTCCTGAAAGATCCAAAGCAGTGGCAGGATTCTGGCCTTGAATGCATTCTGGCCTTTTCATGGATGTCATTCTGGCTGAACTCTTGGCTCAGGAAGAAGGCCATCAGCCACAATGTAAGTATACAGGCAGCTACCAGACTTGGCTTCAGGTATTGAACTGTCATCTCAGGCATCCATGATGATGCCCCAGCAGACGGTAGATTAGCTCTGACACCTGGTACTGGGAAGGAGGAGGGGCTGGGGCCAACAGACCAGTGCCCCCTGTCCTGATGGCTTCCGTTCCTCCCCTAACCCTTCACACCACATCTCAGTCCCAACACCTCACCTCTTGCTTTCTCAGCCACCTGCTAACCGCTAAAAGGAACTCTGCCAAGGCCTGGACTGGAGGTTGAGAAGAAGGGAGAGGTGACACTTGTATGCTGTGGTCGCCCAGAGGAGATTGACACCCAGTGAGGTCTTTCATGCCAGCCCAGTTATAACAGGGACCTCATCACAGACACCACATTGTGACCTCCACTCTGAAAGCTTATTCTCAAGTCCCCCTCCTTTACTTTGGCATTCAGCCCAGAGCCCAGCTGACAAGGGAGGCTTGAAAGTCAAGTGTCAAGGGAACAAGACGGTGAGAAGGAATGGGTATGTGCCAAGTCTGATGTAGACAAGCAGGAGACAGAGAAGGGAAAGGAAGGGCCGCTTGGCCCTTTTTTTAAACTCTTTAAAAAATATTTTAATGTATTTTTGAGAGAGAGAGAGAGAGTGCGAGTTGGGGAAGGGCAGAGAGAGGGGGAGACACAGAATCTGAAGCAGGCTCCAGGCTCCCAGCTGTCAGCACAGAGCCCGATAGGGAGCTCGAATTCACAAACAGTGAGATCATGACCTGAGCCAAAGTAGGATGCTTAACTGACTGAGCCCCCCAGTCCCCCATGGTCTATTCAACTCTTAAAACCTCTCGGACATTGAATTCATTTTCTTTTTGAGAATTATCACCAAGGTAAATACATGCAAATTATTTTTTTGAAAACAGAAACAGAAACAAAAATCATACTATCCAGAAAGGCTTTAACGTGAAGCAGCTGACCTCGGTCGTCTTTACCTGAAGTCTCTCCTCAGACACATCCTCTTCTATCCGTTCTTCAACATTTGCTTCCATATCTCTAAATAATATGCTCATACCGCTGTATCATACTAGGTGTACACTAGCTGCTATGTATGATCGTATCATTATGTTTAGTAGTACCCTCTTGGTCACTTTACAATTTTATATAATGGACCCTAACATCTATTTCTCATTCTGTCACCACGAGACAAGATTTCTTGAAGTCTTTCTCTTTAAGATGACAATGCTGTACCATACACTTCTATTTGTCAATTATTTTCCCTTTACACATCCCAACATTGATATTTTGAACTTCTACATCATCAAGGATAATATTTACATTCTGTTGTGTCATTAAGTTTCAAGTGTTTTGTCTCTAGCAGTGCTATCCAAAAGAAATATGTGAACCAATACTTAACCCCGTATGTCTAAATATTGCCATTCCAGGGGCGCCTGGGTGGCTTAGTCGGTTAAGCGTCTGACTTTCGCTTGGGTCATGATCTCGCGGTTCGTGGGTTCGAGCCCCGCGTCGGGCTCTGTGCTGACTGCCAGCTCAGAGCCTGGAGCCTGTTTCAGAGTCTGTGGCTCCCTCTCTCTCTGACCCTCCCCTGCTCATGCTGTCTCTCTCTCCTAGAAATAAATAAAACATTAAAAAAAAATTAAAAATAAAAAAATAAATAAATATTGCCATTCCAATATATATGCAATATAAAAATATTATTGAGATATTTTGCATTCTCCTTGCTTGAAACTAAGTCTCCTTTTTAAAAAAAATATTTATTTTTGGGAGAGCACAAGCAGGGGAAGAGGCAGAGAGAGGGGGACAGAGGATCTGAAGCAAGCTCTGCACTGACAGGCTGTCAGCAGCAAGCTCAACGTGAGGCTCGAACTCATGAACTGCGAGATCATGACCTGAGCTGAAGTCAGACCCAGGCACCCTGAAGCTAAGTCTTCTAAATTCCAAATTGTATTTTACACCCATGGTGCATCTAAATTTGAACACTCAGTTTTCATCAAATACATGATCTATACCTTTTATAAAATTTTATAAGCTAAAAAGTAGATTTACATATCAAAGTTATAAAAAGCATACTTAAGGGTTTTCCAATAACTGAATTGTGTTCACTTTTAAATTTAGATTAATGAAAATTTTTATTCCTTACTTGCACTAGCTACATTTCACATGCTAATCCACCATATTGGATGGGCAAGAACTATAGACTGATTCTAAAAGTCCAAATTCTATTATGCTCACATTATTGTAACTAGACAAATATTAGTTCCTGTAGAGTCTGATAGTGAACTAGGACTACTTTCCTTTTACTGTTCATTATAATTTCCTAAGAAAGGGTATATAGAAGATAAATGTCTTTGAATCCTTGCATGTCTAGAAAAGCCATTATTCTGCTTACAGTGGGTAGAATTGTGTCCCTGAAAAAAAATATGTTCAGGTCCTGGTCCCTGATACTTGTAAATGTGACCTTATTTGGAAATACAGTCTGAAAATGTAATTGAGTTTTTAAAAATTCATGCTGGATTAGGATTGGCTTAATCCAATGACTGGTGTCCTTAAAAAATGAGGGAAATTTGGGAACTGAACACACAGGGCAGAGTGCTATGGGACAGATTCTCCCTCAGAATCTCCAGAAAGGACCAACCTAAATTTTGGACTTCTAGCCTCCAGAACTATGAAAGAATATAAATTTCTGTTGTTTTAAGATACCTAGGGGTGCCTGGGTGGCTCAGTTGGTTAAGCCTCCAACTTCAACTCAGGTCATGAACTCATGGTTTGTGAGGCAAGCCCCATATTGGGCTCCACCCTGACAACTTGGAGCCTACTTGGGATTCTTTCTCTTCCCCTCTATCTACCCACCCACCCCCCGTTTAAGCTCACACATGCTGTTAATTAATTAATTAATTTAAAAAATAAAAGAGAAGATTCATGGGACACTTGGGTGGCTCAGTCAGTTAGGCATCGACTCTTGGTTTTGGTTCAGGTCATGATCTCACTGTTTGTGAGTTCAGGCCCCACGTTGGGCTCCTTGTGTGGGAAGCTGAGCATTTTTATGTACCTGCTGGCCATTTGAAGGTCTTCTTTATTTTATTTTAAATTTTTTAATGTTTTCTTTATTTCTGAAAGAGACAGAGAGACAGTGTGAGCAGGGGAGGGTCAGAGAGAGAGGGAGATACAGAATCTGAAACAGCCTCCAGGCTCTGAGCTAGCTGTCAGCACAGAGCCCAAGGCGAGGCTGGAACCCATGAACCGTGAGATCATGACCTGAGCCAAAGCTGGATGCTTAACCGACTAAGCCACCCCAGGCGCCCCTGTAGGTTTTCTTTAGAAAACTGTCTATTCAGTTTCTATGCCCATTTTTCGATTGGACTGTTCATTTTTTTTTTTTTTTTGCTGTTGAGTTATATGAGTTCTTTATATATTTTGGATATTAACCCCTTATCAGATACATGGCCTGCAAATATTTTTTCCTATTCTGTAGTTTCCCTTTTCATTTTATTGACTTCCTTTGCTGTGCAGAAGCTGTTTAGTTTGACGTGGTCCCACTTGTTTCTACTTGCATGCACTGCCTTTGACAAATGGCTATTATTATAGCTGGAAAGCCATAAGCCTCGCATGCAACTTTCCTTAGTGACTTCATGCATATCTGAACTTGTCACCAGTTCTTCCACACATCTAACATCCAATAATTATGATAATTTTTTTGTTATGATAAAAACTACATAAAGTAAAATTTGCCATCTAACCCATTTTTTTAAAATGTTTTATTTATTTCTAGGAGAGAGAGAGAGAGAGAGAGAGAGAGAGAGAGAGAGAGCGCGAGCAGGGGAGGGTCAGAGAGAGAGGGAGTCCAGACTGAAACAGGCTCCAGGCTCCGAGCCGGCAGTCAGCACAGAGCCCGACGCGGGGCTCGAACCTACGAATCGCGAGATCATGACCTAAGCGAAAGTCGGACGCTTAACCGACTAAGCCACCCAGGCGCCCCTAAACCATTTTTAAATGGGCAGTTCAGTAAAGTATATTTACATTTTGAAAGAGATCTCCAGAACTTTTTCATCTTGCAAAATTGAACAATAATTTCCCATTCCCATCCCCACCCCCAGTCCCTGGAAACCACCATTATAACTTTCTGTTCCTATGAATCTGATTACTCTAGATACTTGGTGTAAGAGGAATCATACAGTATTTGTCTTTTTGTGTGTGTTTTATTTCACTTAGCATGTCTTCAAGGCTCATTCATGTTACCAAATATGACAGGATTTCCTTCCTTTTTATGTCTTTAAATTGTATTGATATTAAATACATATAAAAGAATATAACAAGAAAAATACCCATGCACTTATCTTTTTTTTTTATGTTTTTCATTTTTGAGAGACAGAGACAGACAGAGCATGACTGGGCAAGGGGCAGAGAGATAGATAGACAGAATCCAAAGCAGGCTCCAGGCTCTGAGCTGTCAGCACAGAGCGTGATGTGGGGCTTGAATTCATAGACCCAAAGATCTAATCTGAACGGAAGTCAGACACTTAACCAACTAAGCTACCCAGGCACCCTTCCCATGTACCTATATTAATGAATATAGCATCATAAATATCATTGAAGGCCTTTGGTGTTCCTTCTTCGTTGCCAGATGTTAACACTGTGGAGAATTTGGTATTTATCATTCCCTTGGCTTTTTCTTGTTACGATATCTATGTGTATCTAAACATTATTTAATTTTGTATATTTTTTAACGTTGTATATGCAATCACACTATATGTATTTTTGTGCAACTGCTTTTTTTTGTTGAGGTGAAATTCACATAACACACAATGAACATACATAATACAACGAACCATTTAAGTGTACAATTCCATGGCATTTGGTGTACTCACAATATTGTGTAGCCACCAGCTCTCAATACTTTCAAGACTTTTTCAACACCCCATAAAAACACTCTGTACCCATTAAATAATCACTCACTAGTCTCTCCTGTCCCCAGCCCCTGGTTACCACTGAGTTTTCTGTTCTTATGGATTTTCCTCTTCCAGATAGCTCATATAAAAGGGATCATACAATGTGACATTTTGTGTATGACTTCTTTCCCTTAGCTTAATGTTTCTGAAGTTCTTCTAAGATGTAGCACGTATTAATACTTTACCTCCCCCCCTTTTTTTTGGTTTATTTCTTTATTTTGAGAGAAAGAGAATGTGTGTGCATGCACACATCAAAGAGGGGCAGAGACAAAGGGAGAGAGAGAATCCCAAATGTACAGTGTGGAGTGTGATACGGGGCTCAATCCCATGAACCGTGAGATCATGACCTGAGCTGAAATCAAGAGTCAGATGCTTAACTGATTGAACCACCCAGGAGCCCCAATACTTGGCTCCTTTTGATGGCTGAATAATATCACATTGTATGCACATACCACAATTCGTTTATCCATTCATCCACCGATAGACATTTGGGTTGTTTCCACCTTTTTTAACTATTGCAAATAATGCTGCTAATAAACATTTGTGTACACATGTCTGTGTGGACATATGTTTCTGTTTCTCTTGGGTATCTGTGGAAAAGCAGAACTGCTGGAGAATATGGTAATTCTATGTTTAACTTTCTGAGGAACTGCCAAACTGTTCATTATGGCAGTAAGGCGATGAGTTGCTGCCCACAAGCTCACTGCCCTTATCACATACTCACCGCTCTCATGTCACCGCAGGAGAGCGATGAAGACATAGTTTGGGCTCCAGTTCTAGCAAAAGATAACCTGAAAGCTTTCCTATTACAAAAATCCAGAACTGCTGGTCAAAACATAGTATTACATTTTTTTAGTTGTGTTCATTTTTTAATGTGTAAGATAGTTCTGTGGTACATAGTGCAAGAGGTACAAAAAGTAAACAAAAGGGAAGACTCTTTCCCCGCCTTGTTCCCCACTTATTCTCCAGAAATAAATTCTATCCCCAGACACACCACCATTCCTAATTAGTCTTGTGTATCCTTCCTTAGTTCACTGAAATTTTTCTAAACGTATGTATTGTTTTAATAAGAACTTTTATTTTTTAATGCTTTATTTATTTTTGAGAGAGAGAGAGAGAGAACGTGTTAGAGAGGGGCAGAGAGAGGAGGAGACAGAATCTGAAGCAGGCTCCAGGCCCTGAGTTGTCAGCACAGAGCCTGATGCAGGGCTCAAAGTCACAAACCACAAGATCATGACCTGAGCTGAAGTCAGACACTTAACCAACTGAGCCACCTAGGTGCCTCTAGTAAAAACAACTTTAAATGCAGAGCAGAGGCCAAAATAAAAACATTTGGGAGTCTCCAGATGAAAAGAGAACTGAAAAACAGGTCAGTGCTGCCTGAGGGGTCCAGGAATTTAGGAGGTTAATGCCTGTGTGGGCAAAGGACCTTGAGCCCAGAGGAGGTGGAGAAGGAACGGGGGCCCCTCAAAACACTGGGAACCGCAAGGAGCTGAACCTTCAGTAAAAAGCTAAACTAGGAACCCACCCCCAGCTTAGGATGAAACATAAAGCCTTATCTCTGTCATCAGATGGAAAAAGAGCTTCTTCCCCCAAGAACTCAGTCTGGCCTTGTACTTTGTGTGAGCTTGGGTCTAAATAAATGTACACAACCTTGCATGATCTGGGATCAGACAGAAATTAACGAAAATATTGCCCCTGAGATCTGGATATCAAGTCTGGCCCTTCCTCCCCTGACATTGTCCTCATAGACAACAGACACGACCAGAATTTTATTCAGCACCATATAATTTCCTTTTGCCTGTTACCCATGCTGCTACTGCTGTCATCCCAACAACCCGCTTTGCTGAGGTCCAAAGGACTAGGACCTTCATGGACTCTGCAGGGTGTCACGTGTGGACAGTGAGTTTGCCCAACACACTATAGCTAATTTCCATTTCAGCTTCCATGCTCTGCATGTACAGAAGCTTCTGGTAGCCATTGGTCTGATTAACAGCCTCCCAGTTATTGCACCCCTTTCTTTGCTTTTCTGATCCAAATCCAAAGCAGGCATCCTGGTGAATGAGAGAGGAATGTATGTGTCAGTAGGCTGAATACTGTCTTTGTCTCAGCTCCCCTCATTCAACATCAAGTGTGACAGACTGCCTCCTGGAGTGGGGGGAGAACAGAGCTCATCTTCTCCAGGAAAGACACACTATGAACACACAGAGGGACCCTCGAGCCCAAAAAATAGAATACCAACTAGCTGCTCCTCATCATCTTAGAGGGAGAGAAGATTCCCCAGGGACACAAGAGAAGGGCGTTCCAGGCTGAGGCAGCAATGTGTGAAAAGACAGAAGGCAGCTGGTGTTTGGGGAACACCAGGAAGCCCAGTATGTGAGACTGGGAGAGAAGAAGGGAGGGGAGGGGTCAGATTATGCACCATCTTGAAAGCCAAATAGAAATTTTAAGACTCTATGCTGAAGGTATAGAGGAGAGAAGTCTTGTGTGGGTCTTGTGTGAGAAATGGACAAGACTCTTTCCTAACCTGGCCACAGATGTGCAAGACACAGAACAGAGCCATGAGCCCCAAGGATGCACACTGACCCTAGTCATCCAGCCAGTCATCCATGCACACTGACACCTAGTCCTGGATATACCTGAGGAAGGTGGGGCTGATGACCAGGAGGTGGGGAAGAAGGGAGAGGGGTCTGACTTGGGCCCCTTCCCATAGCACCCCACAGCCACATCTTATTCCCTCCCATATCCTTACCTGGTCTTTGCTGTCTTCCATTCCATTGTGGAACTGAATGACCTTCCAAAATCTAAGAGAATTGAGGAGTGGGGGAGTTTCAGCAGGCTGAGACCTGGAAGGTTCTGCAGGTGTTCCTAATAAGTCAGCAGAAGGTCTCTCTGGAGCTCCTTAGTCCTCCCCTGCAGTGACCTTCCCTCATCCCCAAACTAAGAACATCTGGAGTCCCAGACCATCACGTCCTCACTTGGAGCATCTGAAGTCCATGCCAGACCAGAAGGCTTCAGCAGCAGCACCAGCTGTCTCCAAGAGCCCTGGCTGCTGGCATTCCCAGGATAGATGAAGTGTCTTGTAGTTTGGTTCCCCACCATCTCAATGCTCTGGACAGGGCCCTGGTTCATCCTGGGAAGGAGAGCAGGAACTGCCAGAACTCTGAGGACACCCTTGACCTTCCCACATCCTGCCCTCTCCCCAGAACGTACCCGAAGGCTGGGGTCCATTGGTTGACATTGTTGTCAAGGCCAGAGGCCCGCAGTATCTTGGAGTTCCCCACCAAAGTACAAGTCCCACAGTAGAAATGGAAATGGCTCACCGAGTGTCTGCGAATCACCTTAAACATCTTTTCCCACATTTGCCAAGCCCACTTGCTGAGTTCATGCCCTGCAAACAGCAGAAGGGAAGAGATTGGGGGTTGGGTCCAGGGTATCAGCTCTAGTAGAAGGAAAGCAGACCTGGAGAGTGAGACCCCACTCCTGATGGTCAGGGGTTGAGGTTGTGAAGATGAGAGGTGTGGGGCGTCTGGGTGGCTCGGTCAGTTAAGCATCTAGCTCTTGATTTCGGCTCAGGTCATGATCTCATGGTTCATAGGTTCGAGCCCTGCATCAGGCTGCACTGACAGTGCAGTGCAGAGCCTGCTTGGGATTCTTTCTCTCCCTCTCTCTTTACCCCTCACCCACTCAAGCTTGTGCTCTTTCTCTCTCTCAAAATAAATAAATAGACTTAAAAAAAAGATTAGAGGTACACTAAGCCAGGAATGAGGGCAGGGGTTTGGGTGGTAATGTAGAATATCGGCTAGGCTTTGGAAGGAAAAGGCAAGGGACCAGGCCCAGGGTTGACCACTAACCAGCCACCAGAGCACAGCATCAGGGGTCATGGACTCTGTTGCCCATCATTGCCAGGTACTCCATCGTCTTCTGAAAGCATTCAGCAAACCAGCCCCGTTCTCCAACTCTGCGGTGGCAGAGGGAGGAGTTTAGTGTCTCAGATGGGCAGCCATTTTTCCTGAGTTTGAACCAACGGCAGTTGCAATGCCCTGGTACCAAGACCATCAGATTTCCCTGAGGTGCCAATTCAGGTTTTGGATCCAGACAGGGGGCCATCAGCCACACAACGAGCACCCAGAAGCCCCACAGGCCAGAAATCTGCCACAAGTGCTTCATGTTCAGCCCAGATGACAGGTCTTGTGGCAGGCAGCAGACTTCTCTTCCTGGGACTGAGAAGAAGGAGGAACTGAGGCTCCAGCATATCTCTGTCCCACTGGCCCCCATGGCTCCCCAACCATCCACACCACACCTCCTCCCAATCTATCATCTCCTGCTTCCATATCCATTTGCTTACCTCCAAAGAGGACTCTGGCTGTCCCTGGGATGCCAGACTCAAGGAGAGAGAGATAACATATGGTGGGTCCCATATCCTCCCCACAGGAGGAAGACTTAGCTCTCAGTGGGGTCCTCTCTGCCACCAGTTACACCATAGATCTCATCACAAAGTACACATTGTGACCTCCCTCCTGTAGCCTACCTGGGCAAAGCCACCACTCTATCCTGTCTGGAATACACCAATGGCCTACACTGAACCTAAGATCTACAGGGACAGGGACGAAACTTGTCTGTCTTCTTTAGTTCTGCACCCCTAAGACTTAGAATCATTTAACAAGTATTTATGGGATACATGAACAGAGTTGAGAGGGAACTTAAATACTAGCTAGTGTGAGTGTGATGCCCCCCCCCCCCCATTGTGTAACTTCGGCTCAGACCTCTCGTCTGTTCTGTAGACCTCATAGCCAACAGCCTAGGTGTCTCAGAGACCTCTTACGCTGAGCCAGCCTGAAGCTGAACTCACGATTTTCCCTTTAAACCAATCCCTTCCCAGGACTTCCCCTTCTGGATAAATGTCCTTCCAGTCACCAAGTCGCCGAAGCCAGAAAACTGCGTGCTCTCCTTGGATTTCTCCCATCTCCTACAAATTTCCAAACTATTTTCAATCCATTTGTTTCTGTCTCCAGATCACCTTCGTCACCTCCTCTCCACTGCCAGCCCCTTAATTCAATCTTCACCAGCAGAAAATATTAAAAAACAAAATGGAAACAAAGGTTTAGAAACCTTTTTTATTTGTTTGTTTAATCAAAATGTTTTCTTCCCCGGCTTGAGAACAATAAAACAGTTCAACCTTAACTCATGGAAATCTGCACTGGATATTTTATGGCTTTTAAAACAATTTGCCCAAACAATCAGATTAAGGTCTGTAGTCTAATTAATTGTATTGCACTGATGCCCATTTCCTGGTTTTTGGGGACTCTATGGTAAGATGCTACCATTAAGGGAAACTGGGAGAGGGGTACATGGGACTTCCCTTTACTATTTTTGCAATTTCTTATGTGCCTATAGATATTTCAAAACAAAATTTTTTAAAAATCATCTAGAAAAATACGCATAGTAACCTTTATTGCAGTCCCCTTTATATTAACTGATATAATCCTTTTTATACAAAAAAATTACCTTTTCAACCATTTTAAAGTGTACAATTCAGTGACATTTAGTACATTCACAATGCTGTGGAGCTCCAGAATATATTCATCCCCACAAAAGGCAACTCCATTCCCATTAAACAATTAATTTCCATTTCCCTCTTCTCCAGACCCTGGCAAGATATGACTTTTTAAAAGTTAAAACATCTTGAGTCACCTGGGTGGCTCAGTCTTTTAAGCAACTGACTCTTGATTTTGGCTCAGGTCATGATCTCACAGTTCATGGGATGGAGCCCAGTGTCCAGCTCTGGGCTGATAGGTGAGAAGCCTCCTTGGGAGTCTCTCTCTCTCACTCTCTCTCTCTCTCTCTCTCTTTCTGCCCCTCCCCCATGTGTGCGCACATGCTCTGTCTCTAACAACTTTGTTGAGGCATAATTTACAGGCCATAAAATTAACTTATTATACTTAACACTTAATAATATACTTAATATTTTAAGTATACATTTCCATGATTTTTTAGTAAATTTATGCACATGTGCAAGCATCACCACCATCTGATTTAGAACATTTCCAGGGTGCCAGGGTGGCTCAGTCAGTTAAGTGTCCAACTTCGCCTCAGGTCATGATCTCATAGCTTGTGGGTTCGAGCCCCATGTTGGGCTCTGTGCTGACAACTCAGAGCCTGGAGATTGCTTCAGATCCTGTGTCTCCATCTCTCTCTGCCCTTCCCCTACTCGCACTCTGTGTCTTTCTCTCTCAAAAATAAACATTAAAAAAATTTTTTTAAAAAGAACATTTCTATCAGAGACCCCTCATTCACATCTACTGTGAATCCCATTCCAAGCAACCACTAACCTACTTCCTCTATAGATTTGCCTGGTTTGATCATCTCCTATAAATGGAATCACACAGAATGTAGTTTCTTGTATCTGACTTCTTTTTCTAGGATAATGTGTTTGAGGTTTATATTGCAGTAAGTATCAGTAGTTAGTTACCCCCCACCCCCGCTTTTTTTTTGAGAGAGAGAAAGAAAGCATGAGTGGGAAGAGAGGGGCACAGTGAGAGAGAGAGAATCCCGAGCTGGCTCCACACTCAGCATGCAGCTCTGTATAGGCTCCATCCCACAACCCTGGGATCGTGATCAGAGCCCAAATCAAGAGTTGGAGATTCAACTGACTGTGCCATCCAGGTGCCCCTAGTTCCTTTTTTTTTTTTTTTTTTGATGAGTAGTATTCCATTGTGTGGATATGCCACTTTTATTCAGGTTACACCTAATTACACAGCTTGAGCCAATAAGGCTTCTTCCCTATGCCAGTGGAGTTCTGTGTGGTTTGGGGAACACACTGAAAATTCAGGCAGTTTATAAGTTTTCCCATCTTTTACTTTCTGCCTGCTTAGGGCCTGACATTCAGCCTCTCCAGTCTCTCCTGGGCATGTGTACAGGCTTGTGCAAGTGGGCAGCTTTCCGGACCACCGGGGACGTGTGAAAGCGTATCAAGGTCCACTATGGCCATCTTGTTGCCAGATCTCTCTTTGACACATCTGGCTGGCTTGCCACTCTGTTGTTTGTCCCACCCAGTATCACAAATTCACGTTAGCTGCCATGATTGTTTGCCACTAGTTGCTCTTGTTTTCAACAATGTCTATGGACGAGTGTTTTCCAAGCTCTGCTCCAACTCAGATCAGCCCCAGCACCAGTTTCTTGTCCTCAAAAACTTCTCCACTCTAGTAGGATTGCACCACAGACCTGGATGGGGAAGACAGGAGCAGCCCTTGGGTAAAATGATGTGGAATCTCATTGTTTTGTGCAGATTTGGTAGTTTTTCTTGAATAAATGCTGATATATGTGACATGTCAATTTCCGGAGTCTCGAAGTGACTGTTCATGACAATTTTGTACTGTCTTATCTTTGCTTTTTAAGGAGATTTGCTTAGCTCCTCATTTAGCCATTCTGGAGACCCAATCCCTTAAATACTCTTGAATTATTGTTAACACTAGAGTGAATAATATAATGACATTCATGAAGCCACTATCCATTCTTTTTCTAGATCTTATACTTTTTCTGTTCTTGGTATTATGGTGTCTAGATATGGATATATGTTGTTATCCTGTTTGAATAGATTCAGACTTGCTAAATATGAGAACTCATGTGTATCATTACTTCTGGCTAATTCTCGGCCATAACTTTCAAATATTGCCTCTCCTTTCTCACTACTTTCTCCTACGGGAACTCTTATTAGTCAGATGTTGGATTTCTTCATTCTGAATCTCTCTTTTATAGCTGTGATTTTATTTCTCTAAATTCATCTCTTTCAACATTCCTCTCTTCACTTGCATCTAATTGGTTATTTACAGCTTCCCTTGACTTTTTAATCAGCTTAACAATAATCCACAACCCTAGGACCAAGTGTTCCCTTGACTTTTTGACTTAAATTACTATGTTTTTCATTCTAGAAACTCTTTCAAATTTTAATTTTTTTCCAAGTTTTCCTGGTGTGATACCACTTTTACATCTTTAACGTTTCTAAAGGTTTTTAATCATTCTAAGCATACTTATAGTTTTTATCTGAAAGTTCTATTATCTCAAGTGTATGGGAGTTTAATCATGCTGATGATGGTGTCCATTGACTCTTGCTCATGAGGAATTGTGTCCTTGTGTATTTTGGAGGATTGGGTCAGGTGCTCACCTCTAGCATGGTTTTACCCTTGAGAGTGCTATGTGGCTTAGGTTGAGGTGAATTCTCTCAGAGCAGTGTGCTTCTGCCAGGCACCTTCAACTATAAGTTAGTTTCTCCACTTTGGAGCTTATTCATGAGTCAGCTATATGCCCAAAGGAATAATTGTTATTTAGCTTCAAGATGTTTTTCACCAGGAAGGTTTCCAAGATTAAGTCTACATATTACTGGAACCTTTATATTTGCATTAAAAAAATTTTTTTTTATTTATTTTTAGAGAGACAGAGAGTATGGGAGGGGGAGGGGCAGGGGCAGAGAGAGATGGAGAGAGCGGATTCCAAGCAGGCTTTGCACTGTCAGTGCAGATCTCACAAACCATAAGATCATGCATGACCTGAGTTGAAATCAGAAGTTGGACACTTAACCTACTGAGCCACCCAGGTGCTCTAAACTAGAAGCTTTATAATTAGCTTTCACACTGGTTATTGTTTTATGACTTATGTAATTATACAAATAATGTTTTACAAATATTGAAAGAAGGTTCTTCCGTATGTGGGTTGCATCAGAATGCAAATAAAAAATATTTGCTTGGAACTCTCAGCCCTGTGCTTCTCAAATAAGAGCATGCATCAGAATCACCTGGAAAGCTTCATAAAAATACAGAATGCTGAGCCTCATCCCCAGAGTCACCCGTTAGTTTTTCCGGGGTGTGCCTGAGAATTTGCATTTCTAACAAATTCTCAGGTGATAACAATGCTACTGATCCAGGGACCACACTTTAAGAACCACTGTCTTACCTTAACAGATTTAGACAAAAAGTATTTTACAGGGGGAAAAAAACCAATTTCTTTGTTAAAATTGATGCTCATTTTCTAATTATATTTTTGCTTTCTAAAGAGAAGCATATATTTTCCTTCTACCACCTGCAATAGCATCCTAACTAGTATATCTGCTTCTGTTGTATCCATCCCTCATCCATTCTTCAGCTAGCAACTGGCATGATCTGAAATTAATTTCC